GAAACAAATATTTTTCTCAATAAATGAACTAAAAATAAATTCTAATAGTAAAGTTCTTACTATAATAAAAACAATAAGACATATTTTTGTCAAAATGTAAAAAAATAATAACATTAATAAATAATAACGTCCTGAAAAAGAATGTTTCACAAGCACTGAACCACGAAAGTACAACAACGGAATTAAATAATGCAGTCACAAAATTCACTTCTTCACTTCACATCACTTCACTTTACCTCTCCTCACATAGCTTCTTCCTCTGAATCCTCGTCCTTCTCACTTTCTTCTTCATTTTGAGATGAACTACTCTCCTCGTTCAAATTTATAATAAATTTATTTCCACTATTTATATGAAATTTGGCAATTTTTAAATAATCATCATCAATCATTTCTAATTCTTTTTCCCAATCTTCCTTGTTAATTTTCGACATTTCATTTTGAATTAACTCTACGACTTTTTTATCGAATTTTGGAAAAATATTTTCTTTTCTGACATTTTTCTTCAATTTACGCCAAATTAATTCAATCGGGTTGAAAATACAAAAATATGGCAGTAATCATAATACTTTGTGGTCATATCTTTCCGCTACATTATATACAATATACTTCTCATAATTTTTCATTTGCAGGACCTCCAACAGTTGTGCTTTATTATAATTTTCCTCATAATAGGGATCATGTTCCATTAAAAAAATTTGTAACTCCAGCTTAGTAGAACTCTTGTTAGGAATTTTATACAGTTGTCTCGAATGGTACTTCGCATTGTAAAGAACAATAATGCTATTCAGTTTTAATTTTGGAATTATCGTAGTTTCAAACCATTCGTCAAATAATCCTCCATCCATGTTCTTGTGGTAATCCACGTTACAGACTTCCATATTTTTTCCGCACAGTTTCAATGCATTATTAACCCATCTATCAACTGATCCACAGTGTAATATAATCAACCAAGTCCCTTTATTAGGGAGCAATGAGATTGGTTGACATTTCCTAGATCCATCAGTCCACCCTTTTTTTACGGTGTCATGAGTATCATACCAAGTTTCTATCTAGATAATAAATTGGCCTATTTTCTCTTCTGAGTTCTTTTGGCGAAGTTCATATCTAGGAGAGCCTAGATATGAATTTCGCCAATCCGCTATTCGTCTACTATCCATAATCGCCATGCGCTTATTAATAGTTTGATATTTAAATCCAATTTTTCTCAGCCAAGTTCCTAAAGTTCTTTTGGTATATTTTAGATTATAATCTATTTCTTTTAATTTTCTGTCTACCGCGTCAATAGTTGGGATTTCATTTTTCTGATACGCGTCGTAAACTAAAGTTCTTAAAAGTTTTGCTAACGATGGGTCCAGAGTTTTCGATTGACCGGCGTCGGATCTTTGTTTTCTTAGGAGGGCACCTTCTTTCACCAGTTTGTGTATTGTGAGACGGGGAACGTTAGTCAGAGATGTTGTTTTACCTAGTACATCCAAATCATACAAGTTAGGGTCATTAACTCGTCGCTCCAAAAGATTATTGTAAACATTAAGGCAAATTTGTTTCGCTTGCTTGTTCAAATGACCCCGATTTTTTCTTACTGAAAACACTAATGAACTTTGATTTTCTTTATCACTGTAATCACTATCACTTTCATTTTCACAAACACAATAAGATACAGACGTAGAGGCCTCCCACGATTGAAACAATTTTACATCAAATACCTTCTTAAATTATTTTCTAAAGCACACCAGCAAATTAACAGTTATAAAATAGTTGTTAATCATATTACACTATTGTTCAACTCACTTCAACACGATAACCTTCTTAAAATATTTTCAAAAACACGCCAGCAAATAAGCAGATATTAAATAATTATTATTTATCTTATAATATTATACTTACAATATATCAGCCCTGCTAGAATGATTCGGTAACAATATTAAGTGCAGCTCTGAAGTAGCTCAGCATGTAAGCTAAACTCCGCCTCGATCGCGTGCCAGCAAAAACAACAATCATCGTTCTCGCTTTGATATAAGCGATGTAAAAGATGTCATGTGTTATATATTTCCCGCCATGTCACGTCTTGCTCCGCACGTCCCGTCACAATATAGGTTTCGCAGACTATATCATATCATTTAAATCAATAAGACACATCTCACTTTTTGTAACTTTGCCATACAGTGATTTTAAGAAAAATTGTAATTGTTATTATAATATAAACAGAAGGCTATTTTTACATTATATTTTACAATTTATTATGAATGTGATATAACATATATTTTTCATTTTAATTAATTAATTTTGTAATTACTATTTTCTTTATGTCACATCACAAGCAGAACACTGAGTCATGACGAAATCAAATTTGGCACAATTCAATATTCACGACTAGGTACTGTCTTAAATCTATAACTAACGTGAAAAATCTGTGTTCATTACATAATTTCAACACCATAAAAATTATATTTAAACACTTGATTCAAGTATAAACATCGTAACTGAAAATAAAACGAAACAAACGTAATGGCGGCCGCTGCTACATAGAACAAGAACAGACATACGATAAAATTTCTTTTGCGCAGGTGCACTTACATTGAAACGAGAGAAAGGTAAATGAGCTACAAATGATATGAAAGGAGAGGAACCAAAAATGGCATTTTGTGGATGTTCCGGACATAGTCTGAGTTGGATTGATATGGTGTATTGGTGTCGTTATAATCATGTCTATGACAAGCAAGTTTGTGCAAAGTATTTGATTTAAAATCATGGTCAGTTTAGTTGGTGCTCCGAAAGACCGTGTTTCCACGTTACTAACTGTATTTTTTGGAATTTCTTGATCACGTAAAATGTTCTTTATCTCAAAATACCAAATGTGTGGAACATACACATCTTTCCTTCCGACGCCTGATCTTTCCGACTCAGAAACTTTATTTAACTCTTTCCTATGCTGTTCGTGGACAATATCCGAAGTATGAAGTCAATTTATTATGCTTCTAAAAAAATTCCAGCTCCTCAGCCAAGATCGAACTCAAAATGGAAACCACAGAGTCATATACATATACGCTAAAAGCATAACGGACACACCATTTGTGTTTTTGTATTTAATATATTTAAATTAGTATCAATTATTTGTGTCTACATATTTAAACTATTTTATTAGTTTTCGCCCATGCATATTACAAAAGTTTAGAGATACGCTTTATATGTTAAACATATTGTGGGAAGCGTCAAAGTCTATTATAAATCGACAAAAGCAATTTCGTGAACAAACAAAATCATATGCTGTTCCGTTTTCCATTAAGAGTTGCATATCCAAAAGAATATTACAACTGACTGAAGGAAAACACAAAACTTAAAGATAATATTGACTTTATTTCCAATTGAAAGGATACGTGGGAGGGCGAAGCCCAACTTGGCAAGCTCTTGTTTTGATTGTATGGAAATAAAAAATCTCGGAATGGCGCCGTTCTCCTTGTTTATGTTTTTCTGTTGGTGTAACTGTCATGTTCCAGCAGTAAACGTTATAGAACAATAACTTGTTAAGGTGTATTTTCAGGTACGTTGAACAAGCTTAATTGATTCATGTCTTGCGAGCAAGGGCGTTGTTTGACCCAACCCTATACACTGCATATTTATAATTCCAATTAAGCATGTTAAAATATGCAATTCGACAGGATCTGAGTTGGTGGCTACTTTATTTAAGTTTTTTAAGTACGGCAGGACAAGTGGCCGTGCGTCGTTGGGTGTTATCTGTTGTTGTTGTTGATTTAAAAATAGGAAATGTGGGAGAATTATGAACAAATACATATGGTTTAATACACCATAAAATACATATTGGTTATTTCATTTCCATTGTTTTGTATCACCTACCGAGGTGACCTGTAATTTTATTTGTTAAGACATAGGCGTTGTTAGAATCAATTTCCGGAAGGGACAAACATATTTTGCATAATGGCGGTGGTAGCTAATATTTAACTGCATTCCAAAACCATATAATGCCAAACATTATTTTGTGAACTACTTGAAAAAATATTGCACAAACTAATAATTTGAAATTCGTCAGCAAAATAGTTACTGAGTACCAAAAATTAAGTGTTTTAGAACTTAACCTTAAAAACGGTGGCTTGAATTTAAAATAACTAAGAATTTGAAAATGTCTGGAAATGATTTCTTTACTAAAAGACCATTACTATACCCCGAAATAAACTACCAAAGAAGATTATTTTTTGAAGAGTTCATATTAATAACACAGTCAATGCTAACCAAACTAGGTACAAAAAAATTGATTAACAGTAAGACCGGAAAGTGATTCTTTACTGGACGAGCTGGCAATTTCCAGTCGGCGCACAGTGGGCCAGAATTAATTTTTAGTAGGACAAAACCTAAATTTGTAAGAATTAATTTTGGAAAAAACTCCTTTATTAGTATCTACAGAAATGGTCCGTACATAACGACATTAATATGAGAAATCCTAAAAACAAATAATTTAGCAATAGTGAGCAAGTAAAGAACGCTAATAATGCGAAACCATTCTCAGTCTATCATTTGTTTTTGTAATATATAGAAGTGGTGTTGTGTTCTCGATTGTTCTTAAGGATGTAAGATATTCCTGTATGAATCTTTTTGTTAAAGGTATGCTACTTTTTTCCTCTTTTATTTAACATTTTTAATGCGTTTAGCGCGTTTAGCCAACCGAGTTGGCATCATCTAGAGATGATTAAAACTGAGTTCTGATCATCTCCAGATGATGCAAACTTGGTAGGCGAAACGCTCGTTAAGTGCCGTATAGAGTGTTTTGGTGTTTCGTGGAAAACTACGTCAGTTTGATTAAAACTGAGTTTTAATCATCTCCAGATTATGCAAACTTGGTTGGCGAAACGCTCATTCAGTGCCCTATATAGTGTTTTGGTGTTTCGTAGAAAACTACGTCAGTGTTATCTTCGCATCAAAGGTTCCAACCCATTCCAGGTTCTTTTACCATCTTAGTCCGCAACAAATTACAAGTTAAATTTCTAACTTGCTCCAGGATGGAATCAAACCATCAACCTTCGATGTCGAGTAAATAGCTATAAGCGTTTTACCCACTCAGCTACCGTGCGCACAAATAAAGTCCCAAAGGCTTAAGATTTTTTTCCTTTGTAAAGACCATAATATAACACAGAAAAATCAATGGAATAAAAAATAGGGTGACACAGAGGATATTTATTCATTTATATGCTACTGCCTTTCTTAATTTTTTTTAAACTTTAGATTAATGTTGATAATTATTGCTGATAAGTAGACACCGAACAATTTCCGTGAGTTCCCGACCGATTTCCCAACCACCTTCTCTGAGCTTCCATAGGAAAGCACACGCATTACGAGATTTAGACCATGTTTCTTCACTATTCAGTTTATCTGCACACGTCGCAGTGTGTAGACGGTGCGAAGAGATAGATACATAGTAACAACTGTCTTATTTTCGTTCATATTTGTCGACAGTTGAACTGCAGAAAATTGTTTCTCGATTTGATGACTTTCGGGTCGATAGATCTGCAGTGCACTGTATCGTATGCAACGGAAAATTAATGTTTCACGCGTGGATTTGTGTTGACGAGGAAATATATTTAAGGGACATAAAATCATTAATGTTAATTATTAGGCACATTTTTAGTGTTATTCATAGTACAACTCCACAGGGCCATATTAGCCATTAGGCACAGTTAGGCACGTGCCTAACGGCGCCAATGCTAAAGGGCGCCGTTCGCCGTTGATGTTCTTTCTGTTTTTTCTTTTACCGCCTGTCAAGCCACCGAAGTAACCCCCTTGAAAAATCTCTAGTATTCTTGTCACTATTTAGGTATAAACCATAAATTATTGACCTTCTTGTAAAACATGTGCACTGAACAAGTGTTCTTTTGGGTATTTTTCTTGGTTATGACCCAGGTTAATGTTACGGATTTGCTACAAGTGTACGGCACAAAAGTTAAAAATTAAGTTAACTCGAACGAAAATTGAAGCGCACCGACGACGTCCTCAGTGTAAATCTTAACGTTCGGTAATCGGCTTAATCATATAACAATTCCCACAAAAGCGGAGAGGTGTGTAATAACTTTCTGTGTTACTTTTAAGTTTTCTGACGATCTGACTTTCTCGAATTTGCTGTTATCATTTTTATTTTTTTATATACTTAGTGGTTTTGGTGTTTTGGTGTTAGTTTGTGTTGAAAAATAATTGTTTTTCTCTGAAAGAGGTGAGTTCAATTTATCAATTCGAATAGATATCGGTGCTGACGGACGACGCGACGGTTCTTGTTAATTTGATGGAGCTGAATGTATACAAATACAATAGCATATTACTATAACTATTATTAATAATAAAATTTTCCGACCTAAAAATAAAATAGAATATGATTGTTGATTGCATAATGTTTAAGAATATAATATGCTTAACTGAAAAAAATATTAATATTCAGTCACTATTCATAGCTAACTTAAGTAATTGCTTTTTGTAATAAATAAATATTAAGATATAGCAACAACATTAATAATAAAATATAAAATATATACCTACATTTATCAATTTGGCTCTTTTTAGATGGAACAAAATAAGCGGAAAAAACCCTCTGAAAATGAAGCAAAAATAAAGAGAATGAAATCCGTAAAAAATTGGCTGACTTGTCCGATGTCACCATCGGTTACACATAAGGACACTTCTAACTTGGTAGCAGATGGTATTATGCCTGCAGGTAGATAGCTATTATTTTTAAATGTGCTTTTATCTTTGTAGAAAGGCGATGTTGAACCTTTGATATTTATTATGAACTAAAAAGATGTTTTTTTTGAAGACCTCTTGCCGGAAAATGATTCTGATGTAACCCAAGATCCATCCTCGCAGAGTGCGTCTACTTCTGCGTCATCTGAGGTCCAGCAAGGGCATCAGCTACGCGATTCTCGGAAGGAAGAAGTTACTACTAATACAATGACATTTTATAATCCAGATCCTGCAAAATGGATTTTGACAGAACGTTTAATAGATTATATTGCCCAAAATGTTACTTCTCAAAATTTAGAAATAGGTTTTAAGTTGACAAAAAAGGTGTTTGGGGACAAGGCGCGGTTTCTTAATAAAAACGATTTTATTAGAAAAATGGCTAATGGAGAAGTTAAACCACGCAAATGGTTAATTTATTCAGAGTCCACCAAGAAAGTATTTTGCCTGTCGCCTGTTTTCTGCTGACGCGACATTTGCCAAAGAGGGTGTTGATGACTGGAAAAATCTTAAAAAACTGTTAATGATCCACGAAAATTCTACTAATCATAAGTCTAACTTACTACTTATTAAGGTTAGAGGTAGTAAATTAGGCAGAATTGACAAGGGCTTAACTGAGGCAATAGAAGAAGAAATGTCTTACTGGCAAAACGTTTTGCGGAGAGTTGTCGTTGTGGTGAAAGCTCTGGCTTCCCGTGAGCTATCATTTAGGGGAACAGATGAAGTTTTTGGTTCATTACATAATGGAAATTTTATGATGTTACTTGAGGTAATTTCCGAATTTGATCCGTTTTTGGCATAACATATTGAAAAATACGGAAATCCTGGTAAAGGTAAGGTATCTTACTTGTCTTCAACCGTGTGTAATGAGTTTATTCAAATTATGTCTAGAACAGTTCTAAGTGAAATTGTTCGTGAGATGAAGTCACAGAAATACTTTTCTCTAATCATTGACTCAACGCCGGACATGGCCCACATCGATCAGTTATCTTTAGTTGTGCGATATGTTCTTAAAAATGGGGACGCCGTTGAAAGATTTTTAATGTTTTTACCCAATGTGGGTAAGAAGATCTTTTTAATTGTATCACTGACCAATAAATATACAGGACTGCCGCGGTCAGTCTTACGATAACGCGTCAAATATGTCCGGTATATATTCAGGGCTACAAGCTAGAATCAAGGAAGTTAACGCAAACGCTCTTTATGTACCTTGCGCCGGACACTCACTCAACTTAGTTGGGACCACTAGTGCTGAAAGCTGCCTTGAAGCTGTTTCATTTTTAGGGTTGCTACAGGAAATTTACAAATTCTTCTTAAAAGTTTATCTGTTACGCGATGGTCTGCTCGTGGTGATGCATTCATTCCACTAAAAAGAAAAATTGGTCTGCTGTGATTAATGCATTTTTTGACATCTAGAATGACACAAATCAGAAGACAGCGACTAGAGTTGAGGCGACTACATTAAAGACAAAGTTACAATGTATTGAAACAGCAATATTATTGGAGGTTTGGGGAACGATTTTAAAAAGAGTAAATAATGTCAATATGCATTTACAGAAAGTAGAATTAGATTTAGCCGAGGCAATTAATCTCTTAAAATCGTTAGCCTCATTTTTCCTAGAAATTCGTCACGATTTTGATGGATATGAAAGAAAGGGAATGGAATTATGTGGCCTGACCTCTTATAAAATAAAAAGGAAACAAATACGGAAACTTAAAACAGATGAAATTCGAGACAACGAAGAAATATATTTCAATGAACGTGACAAATTTCGTATTCACACGTTTTATGCCATCATAGATAAGCTTACTGCAGGAATGGACCGTTGGTGTCAAGCTTACATAGGCACTTCAGAAAAATTTGATATACTATTTCACTTAAACGATGTAAATGTTACAGAATTGAAAGAAAAGGGGCTAACAATTAGCAAAGCATTCTGCCATGGCATCGAAAATGACATAATAGAAGAGCTAGTTCATCTTTAGTGTCATTTAAAAAAGTTTAAACCTTGGCAGTAATAGGGTTGCAATTCCAGAAAACCCAAGGACTTTATTAAAATGGCTCAAGGTGAAGGAATTACAAGACATTTACCGAACGTCGAAATTTTACTTAGAATATTTAACACGCTTCCGATTTCGAACACCTCTGCCGAATGATCATTTTCAGTCCTGAAACGCATTAAAAATCTTTATAGAACAAGTATGATTCAATAGTGGCTAAAACACTTTGTATGTAAAGCCAAAAAAAAAAAAAAAAAGTATGATTCAAGAACGCGTTAGTGGGCTTGCTCTTTTCTGCATAGAGGGAGAATTTACGAGAAGAATTTCTTTCGAGGAGACAATTAAGTCATTTGCTTTTGCGAAATCCAGAAAAAAACATTTTTAAAATTATAATCGTTCTTTTAAGTTTAAGTTATTTTACATTTGGAAATTACTTTTGTTTGTTCTGACTACCTATCTAAATATACGTCTGTATTAAAGTTTAATTTCTTGTTGTTTTACTTTTTAAAACTTCATTGAAAGGGCGCTAGTTGAGTATTGTGCCTAACAGCGCCAACAATGGTTAATCCGGCCCTGCAACTCCACTGTTAATGCATAGTAAACGTACTTACGAAACTACGCTTAGAATGTTCTACACTACCTTTAGATGAAACTGTAGATATTATCCATAATATGCAGAATTCATTAAGCGGCTTATCGGACCGTCGTGATGTTGCTGTTAAAGATACATTACAACTTGTGTTAACTAAAAAGATTGATTTCTAAATGTTATGCTCGTATCGAGATTTGCCGTGGAGGTACCATCTTAATCCTAGAACCACACCGTGATTATACTGTATAAACCACACGAATGTAACTTTGTATTTTGTATTTTTTGTATAATAAGAAATAGCGGCTTTATTCGACCAAGTGGGAAGAAAAAGTTACACTTTAATTTATTTCAACATTGTATTAATAAACATTATAAATATAGAAATGTAAAAAAAAATAAAGAGAAATTAAAATCATATTTTTTATGTTAATTTTTTTTTTTTGGTATTAATATTACCACCACAGGTAATACAACCCTCTGTATCCCTGAAGGTACCTCAAGGTACTTTGGGCGGGAGAGAGCTACACATTTAGAGACAATGGCCAGACACCGAATTTCAGAATATGCTAGGAATAGATAAAATCCTAGCTCCTTGATCAGGATGTGAAACCAATGTCCTTGCCGCTCGACCACGAGCTACACTTCTAATTATTATTATTATTAATAGGTACTATTCTTCATGTTCGCTAACTGTAGAATTATTTTTCATATTCAGTCTCGACGTCGTTGAATTTTTCGGACTCATTATTACTCAAAT